AGGCCTCTCCATGGAGAAATTCTTGGAAGTGTAAAGGCAATGAACATGCATATAAGGTGGTGCTGCCATGGCAGGGTCAGTTGCTGGTGCATGTGCCTGTTTGGAGCTACTGGCCCACCTGGAACCCTGGCAGGAGCAGACCCTGCCACTGAGGAGGGAGCAGAGATGGGACTGGCACACAGTAACCTACCCCAGAAAATGCCCCTATGTCACCACCCTCCTCAACCAGAGGTGGCATTTGTGCATGTAGTTTCCTAGGTAGTATTTTTCTTTTTTCATCTTTCTTTCTTTTCAAGTCTGTAGCAGTGTAAAAACCAAGCAGCCACAGCATCCTGTGGCAAAGGGTTCCCCAGTGCAACCCCACACTCTGTGCAGATCTGCCTCTGCTTGTTTGCTTTGAACCTGCCACCTGCTACTTTTATTTGATGTTCCTGAAGTTCTTGTCTGAGAAGCAACAGCATACAATCACACTCTAATTTGTATTGAGATCAGATAGTCTTGAATCACTGGTGTCCACGTGCTTGCTGCTTTTTAATTCAATGGTGAAATTGCCCAAACTCCCAAGTGTCTTAAGGGCACAGATCAGGCATTTGTAAATTTTTCTTCACTTTTCCAGTCATTACTGGTGTGATACTCTGCAAAAGTCTGCCAGTTATTACCCTAATGGATGAGACTGCAGAAACAGGAAAGAAACACCACCCTTGCCTTAGCATACATAACCAATCTGTATGTCCTCCATGCATCACTCACTGACTGCAGACACCTGGGAACACACAGCCTCATTCATGCCCCTCCCCTGCACAGGCTCTTCTGCCCATGCTCCAGGTGCACATCCACCAGCATCCATCCTTCCAGAACCACACTTGGATGCATGCATGCCCCTTTATCTTCACTCCTCCAATACATCCTTCTGATTAAAATATAACTAATATGCCATAAATACAAACACCACAGGCACAAAAATGCCACTGTAAATGCACTGTGTCTATATACTTACACTTTATCAGCACATACCCCATTCAATCCTAACTTACTACACACCCTTGAATGCATTCTTTCACCCCACACCTTGCCTCAACATGCTACGTAGCTTCAGGAAGAGCAAGGAAAGCCCAAAGTTGTTTGAATGAGATGGTCTGTCCCTCTGGAAATTCTGCTTCTCAGTTTTTCCTGTGCCAAGCCATGTTTCAGTGGCCTCCATCAAGCCTGGGGTGAGAACCCTGGCCCCAGCAGCACTGCCAGTTTTGCGCATTTTCCTAGTCAATCCCATAGGTAGGCAGATGGGTCAACACTCAGCATGCAGCTGGAAACAGGGTGGGTTTTCCAAGCAACACTGCACTTTGCTGCACAGAGGGGTGAGTGTGCCACAGATGTGCTTCACATGGAGCCCTGCCACAGACTGAGCCAGGCAGGTGAGCACAGGGCACCCTGCTCATGGGGGACTGTCAGAGGACAGAGATTTCTGCACAAATGAAACACAGTGAGATAGAAATATATATATATATCACATGTGTGCATGCATGTACATACATGTATGTCAGAAAATCTTTGGACAACACCAAGAAGAGACAATCCTGTGTGCTGGCTGCAAAGGGACTCACTGAGGCTCAGGGCATACATGGAACAATCCATTTTTCTGCTGCTGTGATCTTCGTTCTTCTCTGCTATTTTCAAAAGGCCATAGCATTAACCTAATTAATTTACTTTAATTGGAGAACAGTATTAGCTTAAAGGGTCCTGCTTAAATCGTAGAGAAGCTGTAGCCAAGCTCTTCAAACAGCCGCTTGTCCCCATTCACCCTCCTGCAGATGGTTAACACAGCTGAGCTGCACTTTGGCACAACAGCCCTGCTCTGAAGGGAAACACCTGCACGTCTCCAAGCAAGATGGCTCAGAGCAGAGAAAGGACTCAGAAGTTACAGGCTGCCCTGCTGAGCCAGGACCCAAACCTGGTGGGAAGCCAGGAGCTCCAGCAAAGCAGAGGTCCTGAGGGACCCACACCAACCTGACCACGCTCACAGTGCTCAGGCCTCAGCTGGCATCCCTGCCCACTCTGGCAGAGGAGGAAGTGTTTGCACAAGCTCATTTGGAACCCAAAGAGGTGATCAGCCCTGCAGGATGGATGCCAGAGGCAGCAACAGGGGACAGTGGCTACAGCAAGGACAGTGGTTCAAAGACCACAGCTCAGCTCTCATTTCCCTGGTTTCTGCTAATACCTTCTGCAGTGGGCTTTGGGAAAGTGTTCCCACTTGCCAGGGCCTGGCATCCAAAGGAGGCCAACATCCCCACTCTCCTTTGTCAGTAACAGTGGTAGCTAGAGCTGAGAAGTACCCTGTAAGATCTTCATGAATACCCCTAACCTGCCTTCCTTCAGCTTCAGAGTTGTTGCCATATCACAGTTTACCACTATGTTTCACCACAAAAGCTGCCCTGTTGTTAACCCAGAGTCCCAGCCTGCAGGGAGAGATGATGGGTGGGCACAATTGAACTAAATCCAAACAGATGCTGGGGGCCCAGACAAGAGCCCTGGGGCAGCAGCAGCAGCTCTACCCCCATCTCACCCTGGCCACTGGGCTGGCTGTGCAATGCCAAGCTGTATGCCAGCTTGCTGCCCTTCACCGGCTGTACCCTGGCTTTGGAGCACTGGGTGTCCATACTCCAGCCCAGGGGATACCAGGGCAATGCATCCCTCTCTCTGCATACACACAACAGACTTACAGCAAGCTTGACCTGGCAGAGGCCTACAGGTGAGCAGGGTTTGTGGAGTCACAGCCACCACCACGGTTTTGAACGGCATCTGGGGCTCCAAGGGTGGCTGTGCTGAGGGATCAGGCTGTGCTGGAAGAAACATCCCAGAGAAAAGTATTCTGTAAGGGAGGTACAAGAGCAAGGGCTCGGGGGAGCCAGCAAGGCACCATACAACCCTTGCAAAATTGGCCAAGGCCAATTAACAAGCTGCAGCTGACAGAGAGGGGAGGATTTCAAGATAAGAGAGATGGCAAGAAGCCTAGAGGAGATCAGAGCTTGGAGGAAGAATGGAAAAGGCCTCCTGGTAATGAATCTAAGTAGGACTGCTAAGGGAATTTATGCTAATATCTCTCAGGAGGCCTTGGAAAAGGGGACATAGGTAATAGTCTTGTGAGATGCTGGTGAAGATACAGAGTCAGGAGTGGGGGAGAGACAGGAATTAGCTCAAGTAAATAACAAGGGGTGGGGAATGCACATTACAAGTACCCGAGATGGAGGATTTAGACCAAAATTCAGAGGAAGGGATGAACTACAGCTAAATTATGGAGAAGGAAAAGTACTCTGGCTGTAAACAAAATGGCTGCGGAGGACAGATATGCAAGACCTCCTGAAGTTAAAATTACAAGCCAAAGACCATTTGGGTAGTTCCTCAAAAGCCAAAGTACCGTGTTGGTGAGGAAAGCACCAGTGAGGGACAATACACCATACCTCAAATGGAGCAGGTACACATACAAAGAGCCTAGCATTCATTTTGGACAAGCTCTTCATTTCCAAAGCCATTCACTTGCAGATGTGGCCTCCTTGCATTGTCAAGTGCTTGGGACTGGCTGCACTGTGTCACAGCTCACTCTACTCCACCCCCTCCATACCCCCACCCACAAACACACAGAATATAGCAGCTGTTACACTTTATTTCACTGTAAGGTTTTAAATTTTTTTTATTATTATTTTTTCTTCTGATTGAAAAAGAAAAGACAGAAAAGTTACAAAAGTAGTAAAAGGCAACAATATCCGCAGGACATCCCTGTTCCCTGCTCCCACCTGCTGGCTGGCAGAACACACCTCTGGGCCCCAGCACCTTGGCAGCTCTTGCTGAGCAAAGCCTGAGGCTGCAGGCCATGCAGGAGGCTGCCACCCCAGCCATTTGCACAAGAAATGTGCCTCTTAGATGGGTACCAGGCTATGGCTGTCCCATCCCCTGAGCACAGGGATTTGGTCCAAAGGAGCAATCCTTCCTGTCCTGCACTCGGCAGCCTGATCTGGCAGCAGTTAAAAAGCTGAGGTGTGCCATCAAAAGAAGAAAAGCAGAATTTCTACAGGGGCAGGAGGAATCAGCAGAGGAACTGCACTCTCTTGGAAATAGGGACTTGCAGGGAACCACGATGGTCTGCCAGAGGTCCCTCACCAGTAAACACAAGTGACCTCTTGGAGGTGGTGCTTGTGCAGGGGGTGGCCCAGCTGTCACAGTCTGGAGCCAAACAGCAGGCAGAGCTGGGACAGCATCAGGACAGACATCCCCTCACCACCTTGCCCAGCTGCTCTGCCTGCCTGAATGACAGGAGTTAGGGAGAAGAGGGGGGGTAGGGGATTCAGGTCTCCCACCTGAATCCCAAAGCCTACAGCCCTTGGACTTTCCCCAGGGGTCTCACTGAAGGGCCCAGACCAGCTCACTGGGTAGCCTCCTACTGGCAGCTGGACTGAGCATAGGTCTCAACCAGAGAGCAGCATCAAAGACTCTACACTGAGGCAGATTTAAAAAAACAAAAATTATTTTGTATTACTCACAGTTGCTCCTCCTGATCTGGACAAACCACTTGCTTCCCCTTGCACTCAGGTACAGCCTCATGGCGGGCAGTGCCTACACCAAGAGGTTACTCTCTCCACCAGGTGCAGCAAGAGGAAAGGCCTTGTTCCTCTACCTCAACAGGAGAGGCAAGAGCTTGTCCTGTTAACTCCTGCCTTTAGCACAAAACACACACAGGCCCTGAGGACAGATCCCAGCAAAACACCAGTGGCAGCAAGGCCTAGCATGGTCCCAACAGCCCCAGAACTGTCTGTGGAGAAATGTCCCCCACCTTCACTCAAACTCCCCTCCTACTTCTTCCATCAACAGACACAAAATCGACTTTTTCCCACTCCTTGCTTCATCTGGGAATATTGTCCCACTGATATCAGAGGAGTGTACCTGAATTTAACAAGGGGAGTGGAAAGCTTGCTGGAGACATTAAATTGGTTTGAGTTACCTCCACCAGTTACCTCCACCATCATGTTAGTGGGACAAATGTATGGAGAAGTGTGACATACCCCAGAACACACACTGCCTCAGCAGAGAGGAGATCCATGAGCACACAGTCACCCCCAAGTTCTTCTCTTTGGTGATGCTGAGAGGACTGAAGGTGGGTGCTGCATTTTCCTGGGTGGCTCAACACAGACCTTCCAATTCTAAAATTTTATTCTAACCCCAGATCTACATATGGATGTCTCACTCTCCCATTTCAATCTCTTTTTGGGCAGTATCACTGAACTGCCAGCAGATCATCTGGAATGCACAGCTAAATGTGCCAGTTACTCCTCCACACACCTCCCTGTCCCCAGGTTTTCCACTTGAGAGAGCTTGATGTGAATGCAATTATAAGAATCTCAGAGAGGGATCTTCTTGTTTTGCAAGCAGCTCTGTATAGCCTCTTTCTCCAATCCTGAGCTCACTTCTGAGTGGGAGAAGTGTCAGGTCTATAGCAAAGCACTGTAGACCCAGGTATCCTTGGGAAACTGACTGGATTTGGTTTCACAGCTTGATCACTCAACCCTGCTGCCATGCAGGTCACACCAACCCCTGAACACCTCCTGGATATCTTCAGTCGCCACCATCCTCACGTTTGACACTGCCTTGGTGGCAGTTCTTGCAGTTTGTGCACCTGACTGGTTTGCTTTGCCCTGAGAGACAAAACTCACTCCCTGTGCCACTGCTCAGCTCCATCAGTGGTATGCAAACAGGCACTGCTGCCAAGCCATTCGCTTCCTCCTGCCAGAGCAGCTGCGTTGCAAAGGCGTCTCATTGCCCCTTCTTCTCCCACCCCTCCCCTTGGGTATCACCACCTCCCCTTCTCCCTGCCAGGCAGGACACTGGGTGATAGTTCCTGAGGTTTTTTGGAGAAACTCCTTCAGTAGGCACATGACGGTTCTTCCACTGGAGCTATGGGGCTCAGCGGCTTCAAGGTGCTGAGGGAACGGAAGGCAAAAGTGGAGGGATCGTACAGAAAGTGGGGTGGCGGGCGGCCTCCGTTGGTGCTCTGCAGGGGAATAAAAACAGGCATGAAGTCAGTGCTCATGTCAGCTGCAAACAGTGAAATTCCTGCCTTGAGTGCTCTGTCGTCCCCCTCTCTGATACAATTACACCTCCTGTATGGTGATGCTTGCACTAGCAGCCAATGGCACTAACATAAGCAGTGGGAGCACTTTGCTCCCATCCCTGTTCTTACCCTTCAAGATAAAAAGCAGGCACACCTCCCTTTCTCCAGGACTGAGGTCCCTAGGATCCACCTGACTAGGGCCCATGGCACCTGTAGCCACTAAGTGAAACAGGATAATCCATGATGCGTTTAGAGTACCAGAGTCAGAAAAGCATCACTACCAAAAGGTATCACATCGAAAAGCTAAATTCACTTGGCCTTGAAGTAAGATCTGGTACACTTTTAGAGCATGGAGACAAACCAAGTTATCTCTGGAAACACATTCTTCAGCCCCATTTTTCAACAGCTCTCCAATAAGGATTTACAAACCACTCTTTCTTAAAGTCCCAGGCATGCTAAAACTCTCCAGGGTTTTGGTTCCAGACTCCACAATTTGATGAGGAATGGCTGAGAATTGCTTGGAAGAAAAGATCCAACTCCCAAGGCCTTACAGACTTGTTTTACCATGGCCACTAAAGACCATTCTCTCCCCTTTTGCTCCCAGTGTTCAGGGCAGGTCCAGAGTAAGGAGGCCAGAAATAGTCATGTATGCCCTGCATGTGTGACAGGACAGAAATGCTGTTCTCCACCAGGCTGTGCTAGAATATGTAGATCCCAAAGGAATGATGGTGCCAAAGAAGTAATTCCACTCTGTTAGATGTGAAGAGCTTTCCTTTAACTTTTCAGGAACTTTGGTTTGTTTCTTTCCTTATGCAAGCCGAAGCACTAGTGGGACAGCTATTTCACTGATACTTTCTGGCTGGGAGAGGAGGTCTCACTTCTCCAGGGTCCAGGAGAGTGTTTAATCATGATTCTGTAGAATTCATTCCCAAGGAATATGTGGAAAGTTCAGTAGCTCAGAAACTCATGCAAACGTCCCCTACTCTCACTGCACTTCCATCACTCTTGGGAAGGGCTTTACCACTATTTTCACAGAGGTCAGGAAAAAACCCAATGACAAACACATTAGGAAAAAACCCAAAAACCTACAGGTTGGGCAGAGAAGTGATTGAGAGCAGCCCTGCAGGAAAAGACTTGGGGGTGGTGGTTGACGAAAAACTCAAGGTGAGCCAGCACTGTGCACTCACAGCTCAGAAAGCCAGTGGAATCCTGGGCTGCATCAAAAGCAGAATGGCCAGCAGGTCAAAGGAAGGGATTCTCCCCCTTTATCCTGTGTTGGTGAGACCTCACCTGGAATACTGTATCCAGCTGTGGAGTCCCCAACATGGAGTCCCCAACAGAAGAAGGAAATGAAATGGTTGGAGCAAGTCCAGAGGAAGACATGAAGTTGTTAAGAGGACTGGAGCACCTCCCCAGTGAAGACAGGCTGAGTACATTGGAGCTGTTCAGCCTGGAGGAAAGAAGGTAGCATGGAGACCTCACAGGAACCTTCCAGTGTCTGGAAAGGGGCTCCACAGAAACCAGAGAGAGACTCTTCCTCAAGAACTGTAGTGACAGGATAAGGAGTAATGGGTACAAATTGGAAGACATGAAATTTAGTCTAGACATTAGGAAGAAATTCTTTCCTGTGAGGGTGATGAGACACTGGAACAGGTTGCCCAGAGAGGTTGTGAATACCCCAATCCTGGCAGTGATCAAGGTGAGGGTGGATAAGGCCTTGAGCAGCCTGGTCTGATGGGAGGTGTCCCTTCCCATGGCAGGTGGGATTAGAACAGGATTATTTTTAGGGTCACTTCCAACTCTTAACATTCTATGTGATTCAGACTGGGCTCTGGTGTTATGTGACTCCCTGTTCCTTTTCTAGGCCTTTCCTAACTAGAACTATGGTCTCCTTTGCTTAGCCTGCACTGTGGGACTGTTCCTCAAAGAATAGGCTTTTTAGGAACATTTACCAATTCTGTCTAACAGAAGAGAGAGGTTGATTTTAGCATTTCAGATTCAGCTCTATCACACACCTAACAGCATGGCAAGGTGACGTTTTGATGCTTCCACCTCTCCTCTGCCTTTAACTTGTCATGACAAGGCAGCAACACACAAATACCCCCAAAAATCTGCTCAGATGGTTTGTCCCACCCAAACACGCAGAAAATCAGAGTGAGCTTAGGAAGTGTCCAAGCCAGGCCCTGAGAGCTGCAATAACTGCAGCAGGATCTGGAAGCCTCTTGTCTCCAAGGCTCTTGGTCACAGCTCAGCCCCACTGGGCAGCAGCCTTTATGTCAGGAAAGGCCTCTAAAAGCCAGTGTGGGCAGCATGTTCCTGCCTAGCTGGTATCTCTTCTGCAATTAAGATGGGCATTCGAGAATGGAAAATGCCAACATGGTGCTTGGCATCAGCTGTGCCTAGAGTTTCAGCCAGCAAATCATGCCCTGCTACATCCCCCTGACACCTTGGCCAGCAGCATAAGAAACAAGAGAGGCAGATTTAAGGGCCTTTACTCAATAGCCACCTGCTGTGGGGTTATATATGGTGTGTGCTCTGGCAGGCCTCAGAGCTGGAAGGTAACATAGCAACCCCTATTCAAAGCCAAGGGGCAGAATAAATCAGCACATTTGTCCTTCTCCAGAGCAGAGAAGGTCCCCTGCCAGTGCCAAGAGGGAATGGGAACAAAGAACCTGGCAGTCCCCTCCATTTTGAAATGCCAGACAGGATTAGGGAAGGCAGCTGAATCCGTTCATTTTTGGCAGACAGCAGATGAAGAGGCCGGGGAAAGATGGCTCCAAAGGACAGACAAAAGTAATCTACAAAACTCATCAGGCTTTGGGTGGAAAGCTGTGCTGTGGTTTCTTTCTGGGTCTTCTTCTGGGGCCAATGTGTGGGGCAGAGAGCCTTCCCAGAGCACTGCCAGGACAATGGGCACAGAACAGGTGAAGCTGAAGGTCAGGGATGTGAGAAGATGCAGGAGGATGCTGAGATTGATGGGCAGTCATGCAGCTGTAAGTGAGACTCAAAATGCACCCAATCCTGCCTCTTCATCCTGGCACCTCTCAAGCAGCCACAAGATGACCACTGGCTTTCAACAACTGCAGACGAGGGCTAAGTGAGAACAGGCTGTGCCCAGCTGCAGGCAGTAACAGGAGAGGCAGTAACCTGACTCCCTCATCCATAGCAACATCCTGATCAATCTGAACTCCTTTATAACCCTGAGCCACACAGGATCCTCGTGCACCTGCTCCCTGACTGACAGGGCAGCACCTCTGGTACTGACCTTGCTGGAGGTAAGAAACCTCCAAATCCCTCAACTCTCTTCTTGCAGACGAGCATTTTTAGATTGGAGTTCATATCCAGCTCTAGGGATGACCAGGCCTGATCTGGCTTAGTTCAAGACACCATTTGGGATCACAGCATGTGGTGGTCTGGTCCTGATGAGTAGCACAAGGCAAAGCTCTGTAGATGTATTTTCAGAACAAAAACAGATAGAGCCAGCTGCCAGAGAGGGGAACATGTTCCTGCCACCCTGTGGCTTGGGCCAGCTGCCTCCCTGTAGTTTGGGCAAGCGTCCTAGCCAGCCTGCCCTTCTCCTTGGGAACACCATGCCTGGGGCTTAGCTTTGACTAGGGAAGGGTGATCAGAGTTGCTGCCGCTGCAGCAGGTCCCCAGGGAGCTTGCCATAAACCTGCCTGACAGCCCCTGGTGAGCAACCCCAGGCCAGCTCCTGCAGAGGCTCCTCAGAGCACAAACAATACGCACTTGACATTAAAGGATCATGTGTTCACTCTAATGGCATTCGGACAGCTGGGTACCGCTCACAGAACGGAGCCTAATATGGGCCCTGTGCTCATGGAAATCATTAACCAGAGCCCTCAATTTGCTAAGCAATCTATTTACACAGCTGGAGAATGGCCCGAGTCAGACTCACACGGCTGCCACAGGAGAGCACACAGGCTCACACATATACTCTGTCAAACACACGTGCTCACTCGCACATACTCACCTGCCTCAGGTTCTCCCCAGTACACAGGCGCTTCCCTGGTCACTTGTGCACATCCCTCTGGGCACACACAGACTCCTGACTCAGAAATCACAAGGAGGGCTGTTCTACTCATACAAACCTTGCCTGTTTGTAAAGTAATTCAAGCCATGCAGAGCCAGAACTTCACAGCATCCAGGGGATGGTCTAAGGCACCACAGCTCATCACTGGCTCATCAGCTGCTCAGAACACAAGGTAGTTCCAGCACCTGGACATACCCACACTGCCCCACTGCATACCTGATTCGGGTTAGATGAGCTATTAAGGGAAGTAAACTCATCTTAGACATGTTTCAAGCGACTATGCACAAACCACCTTGGTCAAGGATGCCTCTTCACCCATGTACGTGAGCCTACACGTACAGTCCTGCCAACATGTACTGTTCTCACCAACACATTATCACCTTTAAATACAGGGGGGCAAATAAACAACCAGGTTTGAAACATATCTGAAGTGTATTAACAAAGACGTACACCTAAATATAGTGAGTGGAGGGAGGTGCCTCAAAGAAGGCCAGTAAGATTAAACATCACAGAAGAAACGCTGATTTCAATCATATTAGCAGCTCTCAGAAAACAGACATATGCACAACTGTTCCATAAACCCACCTGTAACATAACTGTACACTTCGGCAAGGAAAGAGTACAGAGGAAGAAGACAAACATGCAAAGCTAAATTTATTAATATGAAGCCACATTCCTCCTAGAAACAGGTCACTTACTTCTATGAAGTGTGGGAAAATATCTCAAATGCAGACAGTAACATGATTTTGGCCTCATGATTCTATGGAATCATGGTTCTCCTCTCTGGACAAAGCCAAAGTGAGCACAGGTCCAAGTGAGCTTTCAGCTGTGGGAATAGAACCCTCACAGGAGCAGGGAAATGCTCAACACAACAATGTCTTTGAAGAGA